GTGCTGCAGTGTGTCCCCCACAAATGTTATGGGGGACCACTTCATAATGGCGTTTTGGTATTTGTTCTTTTTTCCTGATTGCACGAGTGTCAGTAACGACTTGGTCTTTGTTAACGCATTTGTAATCTGCCTTTTTTAGCTTTTACTCGTTCCGCGTTTGTTGCGAGAAAACGTAATTATGCCCAACCAAACTGGCTGGGAGTCGGCTTGGCGTTTGGCACCTCTGCTGCCTTGTGGGCTTTTGTAAGTGTTTTCATTCGGTTTTGCTGAACTTAACTATTGCCAAAAAATTTACAATAGTGATATAAACACAATGACTGCAACCTCCTGAGTCGTTTGGGGTAATGGGTGGTCATAGTGGGTGTCAAGATTGAAGCATAATTATGTTGATCCTTTATGTTTTCCCAGCTTCATGTTGTGCTTTTCTTTATAAAAATAAACAACTTATTAAGCTTTTCTCTATTTCAAACTTAAAACAGCCACAACAGAAGAATTAATTCTTCAAGCCTGCCAGCTTAATGCTTTAACATTATTTTCCCCATAGATCTTAAAAAAAACCCCAACAACAATAACTCCCAAACCAAACCAACAATAAACAAACAAAACCACAAACAAACAAACAAAAACCCACTACGGTTGTGCCCAGATAGTCTTGTGTTTATCAGACTACTAATGCACTCTCTTCTCATTTTTCCGCTGATTAAGGTGGTCATTATCTGATTTCAATAGATTAAGACCCCTTTTTTTCTGAGCAAAATGCAGGTGTATGATACTCCCTATTTTAGAGAACTCAGCAGGCTTGGTGTTGTTAAATTGACACAGTGTAGTAGCTCTCAGGAAGAAACGTGCAGGATGAGCAGCACTCCCATAATGAAAGTGTTGTCAGGGTGGGGTGGATTCCCTTTGGGGTTTTCACCTTTTTTGGGGGTGGTGAATTGATTGATAGTATGAGCCCCCGCCTCCAGTTGGTCAGTTTATCCAATGAGGCATTTTTTCCACCGGTTTTTCAATTGATAATTTACAGATGATGTATTCTGTATTGTCCCAGTTACATATTGGTTTGCATTCCAGTAATAGGAATTTTAGATTCTGTAGAAGTCTTGCTGTTCTCTGGATCCAGCTGCGAAATTGTATAGCTGTTTATCCTATACTGCTATTTTATAGCTTATCAAGCAGCATAATGAAGATGTAATGGAATATGAGAGAAGACAAAAAGAGGGACACCATAAGTGTACAGAATGCTCATAGTAAGTGTGCACATACAGATGCTTTTGACTTAACAGAAGTTCTGAAGATCTTTGACATCTGATAGCAGGCAAGATATCAGACTGACATTCTTCCCTTATTATTTTCCTTAATACTTTACATCTTGGCTTTTGCTATTCTTCTAACTCATTCCAGCTTTAAAATGATAAGGTGACTGATCTTTATTTTCATATATTCACTGTTGGCTCTCTGTCTTGGACATGTGACATGTCTTTTACAGCGTCTATAGTGAATAAAGTTTGTAAATTGAACACCTTTCAAATGGCTCAGTGGCAAGGAGATCAGAGTAGCTGAAATACATAAAAATGATGTAAAGTCAATGCCCTTAGATGTGCATTACAGGGCAGATTGTATGTGGTGGTGTGCTTTTCAATGTAAAAAACTGTGTATCTGTCTGCCAGCTAAGTCTTTTTGGGATTATGCATGATTCCTGTGAGTAATTAATATTCCACATGGAAAAAATTCCTTATACTAGATAGAGGAAAAAATTGTGGTGCTGTGGTTTTTTTCCCTGTAAACATTTTTCTCCAGATAAAAATACAGGATGTTATGAGATGTTTCTAACCATATTCATCACATTTTTTTTCCTCTTCCTTAGGTTGATGATGTGCTCAGTGAGAAGTAACATGATCACCGGTTGTCCTACAAACAAGTGAGCACAGCAGGAGTACAGTTATGTAATTACTTGTATGTTCATACATTTCATGTGCATAAATATGAAATAAATTATAAAGCCTAGAAGAAACTTTCAAGGACTTTTGTTGCCGTTAATATTTCATTCTGCTGGTCTCGAAGTTGTTTTATGTTGCATTTCCATTTCATAGGGAATCGATCTTATTTTTAAAATCCTCTGTGTTATTCTGGAAGATATATTGGGGAAGCCTAATACAACCAGTCTGTACAAATGCCAGAAGGTGCATTTTCCTGTGTGCATTTTGGGAATTGCTTATGCTAGAGAGGTGCCTGCAGTGCTCACACAGTGAGACTGCACAGGCGCTGTCAGTCTCCGGCGTGAGCACTGCCTTCTCTTCGTGCATCAAGGTCAGCCAAGGACAAAGGCTGCAAAAATGGGACCGCAGCAGTCGGCACAATAGGGCATTAAATAATCACAGAGGGAACAACACAGCTCTGTGTAGATGAGAAACAGGGGGCAACTGCCTGACAATGTAGGGAGGAGAGGAGCAGCTGCACAGCTCTGCCCCCGAGACGCCCATGACTGTGACAGTCACCATGATCCCACAGCAGCGCTTCCTTTCCGGTGTTCTGCTGCCAACACGCCGGTGTCCCGGTGTTTAACCTGAGTGCCCTTTGCCGTCAATTTAGGTGATTTCTCCATTTCATTTTTTTTCCCCCCTTCCAGGAACTGTTGGCAAAGGAATATTCTTGGTGAACGCCCTATTTTAGTAGAACAGTAGTTCGTTCCTCACCGTCCTCCCCCTCCTTGCTAAATGC